TCCTCGCGAAACATTGATCCCGGGAATTGTCTATGCGGATAGGAGGACCGAAGTTGGCAACTTTTTAACCCTGGGACTCCTGGATAGCCTTCAAAGGCTGTAGCTTGACTACTTTTGTAGCTATACTATACTTTACTACTTTATAGCTATACTTTTGTTCTATAAAACGTAATTTAACTTTGTACGAAAGGAATTTAGAACGCTTATTAATGTTATCTTTTTTGAGGCACCATTGTGAAACTAACTTTGATGTACAAATTATGTAGTGAGTATGCAGAAATAAAATTCGCGACCAGAATTACGAAATCTAGTGGAACGGTCTCGATGCTTGAAAGAATCTCAAGTTTGAGATTTCAAGTTTAAGATTTCAAGTTTGACGCTTTGTTTCATCTCTATGGTGCGGAACGAGATCAGGAAGTTCTTCGATATGTATTAAGTGTCTGTAAGCTGAGAATTTAAGAATTACAAGCGGTAATTTCTATTTAATTTTAACGTAATAATTCGTAACTTCCACCCACATAATTTTTAATTCGAAACATTAGATGCTTCGCAAGAAACTAATAAAAATCGATTTTGATCACCTGATTAACTTTTATGCGATGCTAATCACATATATATTTTACAACTGTCCGGATGCTTTTGAGCAGTAGTGCAAGTCTAGCGATTTTGAAGTACCCGACCTAGAGATGAAGTAACATTCTTAGGTCGGCGTCGAAGAGGAGCTATAAATCATCGTCACGAAAATCCCCGTCGAGTCTGTTCGCTTCTGGTTTCCGTTGAAATCGATTCCCAGCGTTTCGCGTGCCAACAACGACGACGATACGATCTCTTCCGTACGCGACGCGACGAAACATTAATAATTTCGTTCTCGGCGATTCCTTGGTCGCCCCACTTATTTCGCATTCCTCGCTCGCGGGGGCGAAAGTTGCCGGATATCGGAGCTGGCTACGCCACTGGCGCAACAAGAGCGACAGAAAGCCGGGAGCAGCGGCGCAAACTATTTATTTCATGGGCTTCCCCCGTGCAGACGACGGTTTCCCCTTTTAAAGCTCGACGCACGCGCACTCGTGTACGTGTGTGCACCAGTCATGCATTAGAGGCCGCGACTACATAAGGGGAAGTGGTCGGTATGCGAGGAAGGCACACGAGGCTACATAAGGGCCACATAATGTGCGTGGCCATGTGCATCCGGCGGAATGCGACGGCCTAGGTGAAATGCCTGGTCCCGTGCCAGATACTTTAACCTCGATTCACAATAAAACAGGCTGGAGTCTTCTTTTCTGGCACTCCGGCTAGGGGAGATCGCGACCTGGACCCCGGCGCCTCTTTGAACGTCGTTGCGAGGCGCGAAACGAACCTTCGATTTATTTATGGACCCTTTCGATCCGTCTTCGGTCATTCTCGGGTACACGAAACGATTCGCAAGATGATATACGGCCCCATAAATATTCGTACTCTATATCTATCGAAGAAATTTGGTTAAATTAAATGGCAAGTCTGATGTTTCCAAGTGTTGAAAAATTACAAAATGCAAACTGTGAGATCGAATTACGCGCCAGTCGCGAAGACGGTGCGCGTAATCAGGTGTGTATGGGAATATGTTTGAAGAGCGCGAATCGAGAAGCGTGATAGATCGAATGTTTGTAAACGAGTGTATGATTGGCAAGGATAGAGACAGAGTGCGAGGAAGAATGAGTGCGAGAGAGAGAGAATGTGGGGACGAGTATTAGAATGTAAGGAGAAGCGAACGAGGCAAGTGCGAATTAAAGAAAAGTAATAAAGTCGTAAAGCAGTTTTTCAAAATTAGTACCCGGATATTTCCTACAAAACAATATGCAAGAATATAAAAAAGATTGATAATAAAGTTCATGTTACAATATTTGCGAAATAAAATAAATTCCTATTTAGGTTCAATTTTTCTAGGCACGTTCGCGAAAATTTTATTTTGCATAAAGATACACAGTCTAGTAATGACCCTTACTTTATCTAATTTTATAAATGCAAAGGTTTTAAAATAAAGACTAAACTGCGTTTCCTTTACATATATACATGTATAAACTAATTCATTTGATAATATCGTAGCTTCACGTGCAAACAGCTAGAATGGTTTACGACAAGAAAACGACGAAGGTATTTTTGAGAAAGCCGTATTTTTCCGTTATTTACAGATGTTCGTTTCCTCGCGACAGTTAGCTACGGCCTCAATAGCATATTGCAAATGTCGTAAACCATGGGTCTTCCGAAGGGCTGCCAGGTAAAGTCAAGCAACCCTCAGCGGGTGACGATGCGAGGCCTGAGGCCCGGAGGAAATCCCGCTGCATTGCCAAATTTCCAACGGTGGTACTCCCCCACCTCAGCACACCCCCTTCCCGGGGAGACTTTAACGAGTCGTCAAGTTCGACTGTTAGAATTCGCGAATAAAAAGTGATTGCAAAGATAAACGCCTAATTATTCCTTTACCCTCACGACCTACGATATCAAAACTATTACTTCATTTAGTCAAACTTCTTGAATAAACATGGAGGGTACAAATATTCATGAGGTTGAAGGTAAATGTACGAGAGAGGAATGCACGCGAAATTCAAGTTTTAGAAACAATGGAAAAGAAGTAAAGCCTGATTGTGAAAGTAAAAATATTTCTCAACTATTCGATCGGATAGGACGAACAAGCTGCGAGTAGCTTCGTCCCCGAAACTCGAACTCATCTTCCCTTCGGAGCTTCTTATCAATGGAATCTCCTCGGAGGCAATTCCCGATCGCCTTTTCGAATATTCACGAGCGGGATCGGCTTTTAATTTCTCCCGAGGCGGTCTGTCGCTCCTCCCCTAAGGGCTTGTTCCACGAGAATATTCACCGATCGATAATCCAGTCGCGTATCCTTTCCACGCTCGTAAATTCGCCTACGTCCCGCCTTCTCTCTCGTTTCCATTGTCGGATACCTGGTGGCCCGTTTACACGCGGTTGTACAGAGTGGTCCACCTCGACGATTCCGCGGGATATCGACTCTAACTCATCGGGAAGTCGCGTCAACCATTGGCCTACTTCCGGTGATCCTTGTAAGAATCCGATGCTCTTTTTTAACCGAGTTCTGTCTTGTCCCATAATCAGGCAATCCAGCGTGTTATACCCAGGTACAGGTATTTATTAAAGTGTGGGAACCTTGAGCGGTCATTACACTAATTGAGCTTCTTAACAATTCGTTTACATTTCACAATCGTAACTCTGCGCTTTTTACCAGTGGCTGGTTACTTTAAATTGTAATGCATAACTTCTCATCAAGTGTGGGGACCTTAAGCGGTTATTGCACTAATTGAGCTTCTTAACAATTCGTTTACATTTCACGATCGTAACTCTGCGCTTTTTACCAGTGGCTGGTTACTTTAAATTGTAATGCATAACTTCTCATCTCTATAGGGACCCACTCCTATTATGCATGACTTCTTATCTCTTTGTCACTTGACAACTCATCTCTGTCCTGGCCCCGCTCTAGCTCTGGTACCTCGGGATTGCTAAGCCCGTACTGTAGCTTCAAAAACACCGCTACAGCCCTTGAGGGTTATAGTCCTGCAGAGTGCTACGACCAGCGTTATTGCGCCGAATATGACGAGTGCTTTCACGCCGCTTGGCAATTTTCGATCGGGAAGAAAACGTAAAATTGCCAGTAAACTCCAGTGAAATTGAGTAACTCCTGATTCGTAGAGGTTCGCAGAGGTCTGTTTCTCGCGGCTGTTTAGATTCTTTCGGGATCACCCTGTATACGAAAGGCTGCGCGGCGAGTTTATCTCCGGCGTCGTTCGTGATGTCGCGTTTATCTACGGTAATAAATGCGCCGGTTGAACAAAGACGCGCTCGCACCCCCTTTTATCCCTCAACCCTGTCCAGTTTGCACTCAGAGCCCCGTGGCGTGACTTTACGAGCGACGACGAAGGAACCGACCCGACGTTACGATCCATCCCACCCTCTAGGACGTGCAGCAGACACGGCCATGATTTAATTCGAATAATAAACGAGAAACGAGACGTTTATTAGACTCGGTATGTTGATACACGGACGCAACAAAGGGAGCCGAACGCGAATAATTTTTCATTTTCGTGCAATTAACGGGGGTGGTATTTTTTCCAGGATATTAATTCTGAAAGAAGAACTTTATCTCTACGCCGGGGTGAAATTAATTTTCGGAATCCGCGTCGTCGTCAAAATAATCGGTGTCGCTTCCATTATCAGCGCTCGGCTCCGGAACGCTCCGTAATCGAGAGAAGAATCGTTCCCGCGGATATCGGTCGCGGAGACTCGCGTATCCCCGTCACGATCCACGACCCAGCCACCAAAGTGGAAAAAGGTGTAGCTACACGGCCAGGAGATTATGCCTGGCGGCGTTGCTGCACTTTACCGCGATCCGTGAACAGACTTTCGATACCCCGAACCGGGAGACTCGGTCAGGGAGATTACCGAGTCGCGCGTGGATGAAATCTGTGAGCTGTGTTTTCGCGAAGAAGTCGAGCGCGACACCGAGGAGCTATTATCGGGGAAATCTAACCGAGTAGGAATACTGTGCCTCGTCGAAAGACTTCAAGTTTGAAGTTGAGGTTTGGAATGTTCGTTGCGCGGGGTATTTACCAGGTTGAGGACTAGGTTTATTGTTGGGATATTATTGCAAAGATAGATGGAGTTTCGATGATACCGCGGGTGATACACGGACGCAACAAAGGGAGTCGAACGCGAATAATTTTTCATTTCCGTGCAATTAACGGGGATGGTCTTTATCGCAGGATATTAATTCGGAAAGAAGACTTCATCTCTACGCCGTGGTGAAATTAATTTTCGGAACCTGCGTCGCGATTACAACTTTGAAGTTGAGGTTTGGAATGTTCGTTGCGCGGGGTATTTACCAGGTTGAGGACTAGGTTTATCGTTGGGATGTTATTGCTAGATGGAGTTAGATAGACGGAGTTCCGATGATATAGTAGTTCGTAATTAAACCTGCTTCTTTTGTATTTCAGCCACGACCTGGGAGAAGGCCCCGAGGACGTCCTGGGAACGCCGCACAATTGCAGACCACGCCCAGGATACAGAGCCCTGTGTCGCAGCATCTTGAGAAAGGTGAGTCGACGAAATTTCGAGTATCAAAACATATAGAATGCTCGTTGGAATAGTGCTGCGATCGATCTTATTGCATTCTTAAGAAAAAGTCAGAATTCTCGGTCGCTTTCTAAAAATGAATTCCCAAAGATAGCCTATACTCCGAGGCAGTTCGATCGCCTAGATTCCTCGATCATCGTCTTCGATCGATCTTGAAGGCCAGCAGCGTTGCTTCGTCGAAGCGACCATGTCCGCGGATAACCAAACATTTCGGCAGGTCCGAAACGCCCCCGGTGTGCTTAATTGACTTTTGACGTGGACCTGTCGTAGATTGTAGCTCGCTAACAACGTCCCGCTGGTTCGGGGGTGTATCGAAAAGGTTAGCGGACCGTCGAATGTAGCCGTCGACCCAGCGCGTCCGAGTCTCCCGCATGGTCGATGAAGCGAGGTCAAGTAGGGTCGTCGTCGTCGTGGCGGCGAAGCCACGATCGACCCGCTCGAAGGTCGGACAAGGAGCTTTCGGACGTTGGGGTCGTGTTCATTGATGAGGCTGAATCCGAGAGACCGTGCGGCATCGGGGAACCCGTCTTAAAATGCATCGCCTCGGGGGACGGAGACGGTTCTCCGTGGTACAAAAAGAAGAGGGTGGAAAAAAGGGGGAGAAAAAGTTAAGGAGGAACGGGGGGGTAAAAAGGGCAAAGAAAGCACCGAACGGAGAGAGATATCTGGGGGAGGCCGCCAGAGGGGAATAAATGATTCGAGGAACAGAGGGAGGAACCGGTCCACAAACAAAAGACTCGTTGCCAGCTACGGCTGAATCGCTGGTTTAAGGGATGAGGGGAGGAAGAAAAGAACCGTGGCTCGTAGGAGGGATTACAGCCAGGAAGGAAGTGCTGACTCCCGGGGGGTGAGTGGGGGAAGAGGGCGTGCTGATGTTGATGAAACGGACTGCCGGGATTCCAAAGTCTTTGTCCCGGGACGAACGCTTCTTAATCCCGTGGAACTGGCGTTCCTGCTCCGTGTTTTTCTGGTTCCTTCGTTTGTCGCGATTTCACCCTGTTCTCTGGGTTAGTCGAGCCCCACGGAAGCCGTTGGCAGGGGTCGAGATCCGGTGCGATACGTCCTCGCGAATCCCAGTCTCGACACTCGCCTTTCCTTCTTCGTGCTCTCTCTGTATCGTCTTGTATCTATCTTGTATCTATCTAAGACTTGTATTTCGAGTTGATTCGATGGAAGAAGAGCTGCTTCCTTTGGAAGTAGGGCTAGACGTTAGACGTGCTCGACGAGTATTCTCGGTTAATTAGAACTGGTTGGACTGCCGTGTGTCGCATTCTCAGACGTGCGATGGCTGTCCGGATAATTGCGACTCCATTGAGTATTGGAAACGTCAAATTCCGGCGAAATGTCGCCTGTAATCCGATTTTCGTGCCTGTACAGCACTCCAATTACGGATTCGGTACGTTCGGTGCCCCAACGTTTGCTTCCGAAATAGTGTTTGCCTCGTGAAATTAATGAAAGACAATCGCGAAAATCTCAACCCTTCTGTTCCTGTAGACACCCGCAAGTGTCGTCTCTTGGCAAGCAATTCGTCGATTTCGAGCAACGTCCTCGCCGTCTGCTTGCAAACGGAAAATCTGTTCGAAGGAACCGCGTCGTTTCCAAGGAGAGCTAAGAAATTTATGCGGCCGTTCCCGGGAACTTGTCCAGCGTTTCACGAGCAAAGATTCAAAGCCGCGATTTTTCTTTCCGCGAGCTACGAGGCACAGGCACGCGCTAATAAAGTAACGAGGACTCCTTTGAAGTGGGTCTGCGTCGCTGTAATTCCTCGCCACGTCGTCCCCCGACTTTCTTCTCTTTTCTCCCCCTTTCTCCCGCCCCCTGCTCCGCCACCGAAAATAAACGCACCGCGTAAAACGCGAACCGGATGACACGTTGCTGAAAATACAACCGCGAGGAGCCGAGCGTGTTCCGCGCTGGGCGATGATATTTCGTAGTAATTACGGGTGGAAGCCGAGGCAGGAATTCTTTTCTAATTTCGACGCTAGGATACCCCCCTCGTCGCGTAAATATCACTCGGAACGGGGGAGACGGAGTTAAACGGGCGTTGGCTGGATGTTTTATTACAGTAAAGACTGGATATGTGCAAGAAAATCGGGACCCAAACATTGCAGTTATCCAATCGAGGTTTCTATTCCGCGTTTGCATCTCGAACGTACAAAAGGACAGAGAGTAGAAGAGAAAGAGGTCTGAGGAACAAATATTAGCCTTTCAGTAACGCCCAAAGTCGGAGGGAAGGAGGAAAGGAGGGAAAGGCTCATTCGTTGAAAAATACAGACCTTGCAATCTTAGTGTATAAAATATCAAACATATTCAGTGCCAGACATACTCGTGAAAATACGTATGAAGCTAAAATTCTGTTCTTATTAAAGCAGTCGACTGTGGATTCGAAGATCGTGGACTCGAATCCTACAACTATATAATCTAACATTTGCAGTAGTATTTAGTTTTACAGCCCCGATCAAAATCCGCGAATCCTATCCAGACATGGTTTCTGTAACACATGATCTTCAGAATTAGTTTCTCAATTCCTTAGTGAAAATCCCTGTTGCCTATGCTGACGTGGCGATCAACGATGTTAAGGAGGCAGAACACAGCAGAAGCTAGACTTTTCGTTCCGTTAGTGCCAGAAGTAACATAGTTGAGAAATGCGTCTGGCCCGAGTAAATTCTCTCTGTTTACGACAACGTGTAAACGACGAAACATGGTTGCAATTCAAATACAGATTCTTGGGAGCAGCGAACCGGAGAGATATTGTTGCGAGACAAGTGTTCGAAAGAAACAATGACGCTGGCGCAGCGGCAGTGATCTTAAATAGCGGCGAAATAGTCGAGGGGAAAGAGAAAGAGCGATTAGAGAAACGGAGATTGCGCGGAAATGAGATTGATAGCGGTTACTGGTTGTACGGGTTCGCTTGGCAGCCTACCAATCCTGGTAGCGAGTTGCGAGTAGTCGACACTTGTTCCTCTCCTCTCTTTCCCTCGCCTGCCAACTTTTCAAAGTCGAGAGAGCCGCGGCCAATGGAAAGGCTCGCTTCTCGTGCACGCTCGCGAAAGAAACGCCGTTGTAAGCCCTCAAAGAGCGCACCGTGAGAACCGAGAGGAACTCCGCGGGAATAGCGAATCGCGATTTATTGGAAATCGGATCGGCGAAAGGCGCAGACAGCGTTTTGTGTTCGTTAGATCACGGCCGCGACGTGGAATATGCCCGGGGAGGTTCGGTGCGCGGAGTTTTCGTGGAAGAGAGACCTTCACCGATCGATGAGCACTCCGCAACCCTTGCTTTCCGATAATACCGTCAAAGTGGACTGCCTCGACTCCTTACAGTACCGATGAAATATGTATCTTTCGAGAAATGCAACAAACGTCGATTTTACCCTGCGAAAGAGTCTGTGTGTGTGTATATATACAGTCAGTCCAATAAGTATTCGTACCCTTTGTGTTTATTGAAGAAATTTGTCGAAATTAAACGACAGGCTCGACGATTCCAAATGAATTTTTCATTATGAGTATATATATATAAACTTTTATATAAATAAACTTTGCAACAGCTTCGAAATTCGAACACAAGAGGGAGAAAAGGCCGTGGAAGAATCAAAAGTGAACAGATGGAAGACTACAAAGAAAGGAAAGAGAGAATAATTGGCATTTAATGTCGTTCCTCTTTCTACACAAGCTCAGTTTAGCAATTACTCGGGCCAAAAGCTAATACAGGCCATGTAATATTCTATGTATTTTTAACGAAACATTTAATTTAGACAAATGTCTTCGGTAGAGATACAGGGTACGAACGTTCAGGTTTTTCGTTCGTTCTAGGGTAAATGGCTCGAAAGTTTGCTTCCGCGGTGATGCAGGTGCACACGTGGCAAGATTGCGCTGCAAACGGCAGATTAAAGCATCGCGCCAGGCCGCACGTGGGCGGTCTGTCGTATCCCGTAATGTATGCATTTAACATTAGGCGTGCAACGTATGCGCGGATCGAGAACTAGCGAACCACATGTCGACGCGCACGCATCTGGCGACCAATGAGCGGTGCGTAGCCTGAATATGGCATAGTAAAAAGCTGCTGTCTGGCCGGAATGTCTGCCGTTTTCGACCAGATATCGGCGTGATTAATCAAGTGGGAATTGCCGACAGTTACGACTAGCACAGTTTCGATTTAACGCAACACGGTTTAATAGGTTCCTGTAGGTAAACACATAAGCAAGGTTCTTCGACTATTTTACCGCGGACCTCGTCCCCATTCAAAAAGCGAGATAAATAAATAAACGAACGAATACATGAATAAAATTCGCTCAAGAAGGAAGAAAACAAACGCTTCTCTCATCGACAATTTCGCATCGGGAAATCGCGTAGCGACAAGGCAGCGCGTAGAAAACGCCGCGTCCGGCGAATGCATAATTCTGTGATCGATATCGGCAGCGTTGGCATACGCGTTCACGTATAAGCAGTTGCGCAACACCGGCACCGTGACGGCCAACGACGAGGATTAAAGTGGGGAACAGTTTTGCATTGCTTGGCCCGAATAGACACCGATCGCGGAGTCACGGATCGCGAGACGAGCCGCGACTTTTCAATAAACCCGCTCGGGCGACGTCGATGAGTCATCTTCGATCCCTGAACGCGCGACGATCTATCGCGTTCGCTTGATTACGCGCAAGTTTCCTTGCGCTCGTTCTCCGCGATTACGCAAATTCCTCCCTTTAGACCAGTTCCACACGGATGCTTGATCCGTGCGACCCCGTTCACGGAATCTGCAATTTAACGAGCAGCCTTGGTCGCAACGTTGACCTTTCCGCGGATTCAACGAGTTCGTTTGGACGGCGAGACTAGTTGAGCGCGTTAGTTGCGACGAATTGCACTTGTGAATATTTAGTTTACCGCGCTATAAAGTAGGTACTCTTCGTAACTGAAATTATTGGATACAGGAAGTCTCATTTCTATTTGATCATTGGTCCAAATCTA